TTGCATTTTGAGACGTTTTTCAGGCGATGCTTCGTTAGAAAGCTACGATTTAGTTCAAAACTAATATCAGATTCGGAATCAGCGTTAAAAACTGAGTCGATTTATATATGTTGTCAATAATCCTGAGAAAAATTTGTTTTTTAAAAAAAAATCCCTGTATCCCTGACCTCAGGGATGGTCTGGTCAAAAATGGCAATTTTTTCGCTAACTCAACTATTTCTTGACGGATCTTTCTCATCTTCGAACTCGACCGAGATATTCATGAAATTGAACTGTGTGAAAAATTTCATCACGATCTGACTCTCCTTTCGGAATTTATCTTGTCTATGGACGGACACACTGATCGATTTTAGAGTGTACTCACTTTTTGAGTACACAAAAAGCATCTTATTCTAGTTTTTGACGATCGACCCGGCATCAAGTAACACTTCTCATATTTTTATCTTAGTTTCTGTTAAGTTTTGGGTAATTAATAACATACAAAAGGGCGTCGTATTTCATATTGATTCATAGCGCTGTTATTTCATTAATTGAGGCCTTATTTAAAATGTTCGACCGCATCAGATGCTCGGATATCTGCTATAGGTTTATCTTTTTTTGTAATTTTAAGATAATAAATCTTGTTCTCTTGCAATAGTATTGATCTATTTTTACTAACTTAGTTATGTAAACTGAAACTAGTTGTTCTATCTTCTCATAGACATACAGCAATGCTTTCAAGAGCAAAAAAAAATCATAACAAATAGATTCTATTAATCAACTATATTAATGAGCGATTTGACACTATCTGTTAGTAGGAATCATGAAGTTCCTGTTCTGACCAAAAGCTGGCATTGAAGTATAGAATAATAGTATATTTGACATACTTTTCCATGCTCGAAACTATTTAGAAAAAAATGCTTTATGGGTTTATCTTAGTCTTTTCGACCCCATCTTAAATATTCAATCAGCAATCATCTTAGAGCTATTTTGTTTTAGATCATAGACACAATTTCGTTCAATTACCAACCGACTACTAAATTAGAATGTCATTTTATTTAGCATATTACTATCATAGCTTTCATAAATTTAACTTTTAATGACGGTTCATTATTACTCCTTATTGTCTGAAGAGTGAATTTCTATCATAACAATATACTTTTTTTAGTAACTCAAGAGATTAATTCATAAAATATTAGTGGTCATATCTTATAGTCATTTCTTTTCATAAAGTCAGGGATTATTGTCTGTCAAGTATATTAATTCAAGAGTACACTTCATAAGAACTAAGCAGAACAGAAGTCTCCACTCACGCATGCATGCATAGTTTCAAGAAAATTTTGTTTACTCTTAGAAAAGTAAAAGCGTCAAGTATATTATTTATGACATGTCTCACCACATCAAAATAAGTTTGATTTATCAATGTTGACATATTTTACCAGTAGTTTTGATTAATATATTAGAGAAAATCCATAAATCCAACATTGAATTAGTATAAGCACAGTGGCAAAAAAGCAAAATCGTGACTACGGAAGTTGTTGCTTTTTTTTATCAAGTACGCCAATTTAACTAAAATCAATTAACTTTAAAGCGTTCTACGGTACGCCTAAATGAATGCGTAACTAGTGACACCTATATGATTATGAAAAGGCTCATATTCAGGCACGCAGCATTTGGGTAGAAGCTTCTATTTTTATTAAATTAATTCAACGAAACAAAAAACAACACCTATAGTTAACATTCTAAAACTTCACAAATTTTCCGTCATTTATGATAATTGCTTTATGTAATGTTCGTGCAAACTGAATTTTATCCGTAAAAGAACTATAGATAATTTTCAAAACTACTACGAAATCAGGAAACGATTTTTGTACTCAACCTAAATATAGAAATGGTAGAACTTCTATTTTGACCTTAATGATAAGCTATCTAATATGACTTCGTTTCGTTTTTGTTTCTCTACCTCCCTCCGATCAAAAGTGATCAGTATACAGAGTTTGAATTTCAGTAGAATTATAAAATTAATATAAACAATTTTTTCAAGATTTCTTTTGATTATTATAAATACTATTATAATTCTTACCTAAAAGTAATGTATGTCGATTGAAAGCAAACATACGGCTATACATGAAATTATAATAACGATGAAAAAACTTTGCTTGCTGAGGAAAAATACATTCATGAAAATGATATTTGCGTCGTATTTCATTGCGTGAGATTCGATGGCCTGTTTGATTAAGTATAATTTTTTGTATTAAATTAACAATCGGCTTTTGATGTAGGTCAAAATAGTATGTTAAAATATCTATTAATCGATCGTGAGTACACACTGGATTTTTTCCTATTAACAGTGTTTTATTTTTTTGAAAATTCTTTATTGCGTAATTAACACATCTTAAAGCTTTTGGTTCATCAGTTATTGTATTTGTTAAAATATATGTTGTATTTTCCATATATTTATTCATGTAGACAAACCAATCATATGTTATATTACGATTGTTTGATTTCGAACAAAATAAGGTTAAACCAGCAAATTCAAATATATATGCAAATATAAAAGCGGACACAATGAGTAGAAGCGTCGATTTATATTTATGTTTATCGGTAAATGTTGATGGTAGAACGAAACATTTTAATGAACGTGTTATAAATGTTGTTCGTTGAACTGACATGATTGACATTAATATTAACGAAAAACGCATATAGGTCTCATAATGAACCAATGGAACAAATGGTTCTGGCCATGTTTGTGTTGCATGTTCAAATACTCGCGCAAGAAATGTTTTTGAACATGATTCTTCCGTATTTCTAGGAAGTTTAAATAGTGTTTGTGAATAATAAGGTAATTTCAGTAAGCGAAATAATAAATAAATTGAATCAGCGGATAATAAAACAATAAAATATGGTGTTATAATACGATAACGAAATTGCTTTCGAAGAAATACTAATATACATAATCCATTGCTTGATGAACCCAATATGAATAAACATATACCAATAAATGTGCATGATATAGATAGCATATTATCTGAAAATAATATAATGCAAGAAAACGCTATTCTTGATTAGAATAAAGTTAGCAAGACGAATTGCGACAGTTTCAACAACCTATAGTTAACTTCAGCAAAACGAAAGAACAGTATCCACTAGTAGCCGTAATAATGCAATGAGTTTCAACTTTGAGAGAGGCTGCTTATAGACTAAATAAAGAGTATTGAGTTCCTCATTAAAATTTTACAAACATATTAAAATTTTACAAATATATTATAATTAGCAATAATTGTTAGGTCTTTGCCAAATGGAATAAGTAAATGCATCTAAAAGTAGTGGATGCAACATTGAATATCTTGCTTTTCTCTCATGTAATACGTTGTTTCTTGTTTAGCCATTTTATGAGAAAAACGAAGGTTATTTCAAGACAATGAATTAAATATCTACCAAACTTATCTAATCATAGAAAAATTAGGCTGAAAAATCAACAATCGATGACAGTTGAATAAGACATATGATGCGAAAAGAAAAGAAAAAAAATGAGACCGGACTACTGACAAACACGCAGGAAAAGGAAAAAATGTTAGACTCTCGAACGGTGCCAACTGTTCTTTGCACACTATCAAACTTATTTCCATAGTAAATTAGTACCTGTACGTTTATATTGTTTACACGGAGTAAAATAAGTCGATATTCTGCTAAGTTACTATTTAATTTCCTTTTGACTTTCTATTATAAGAACTTATAAACGATAACATTCTTACACTCTCTGAACGCCATAATAAAATATATCAATAATACTTTATTTAAGATATTGTTAATCAATATTCTTCGTGTTTAGATAAGAAGAAAGAAAAGCCATTCGTTTTATTCTACTTGTATGGTAAGAAAATTCATTTTTCTATATTATGACGTACGAGAAGCCAACCCACTGGTTTCAGTAGTTTATTTTGAAGTGCTAGAAAAGAAAAAGAATAGCTATTTAGCTTTAGCTACTTAAGTTTTGATCCTGTCTGTGAAAGTGGTCGATAAGCTTGCAATAAATTTTGCAAGAGTACTAGCAGAGAAATAATATAAATTTGTGAGGAAGTAGAAAAACTAATTTCTTTTTCTGAAAATCTTGCTTCTTTAGAGCTCAAGTAATTAAAAAAAGGATCTGTTATATATTACGGCGTAACCATACTATTCATAACTAAAGGATATCTTAGATTTAATATCGAAATGTTCTATGTGAAGAATAAAATAAAATATTTGCGGTACATTACATTGAAACCATTTTAAGAAATATATTAATTATTAAAAATAACTGTAAATCTGTACTTGTGTACCATAATAACTAATAGAAACATATTTTAACATGCTTTTCTAAATGACAAGAAAAATATTTCAGTAAATAAAATTCTAAGAATGACGAATGATGTCAAATTTATTTGTCGGCATGTCTAATTTTTATACGTAGTTCCTTAAAATATTGAATTTTTCATTTCAAATAAAAACATACAGATGATTGTTTAGTGCTATTTTGGAAAATATTAAATTGGCATAAAAAAACACCAAGTTTTCCTGCTAAATAAAATACAAAGGAAAGCAAAATGTTCTTTTTCGTTGTGCTTAACATTGTCTAATAAGTTGCTTGCATATTAGCTCTATTTTAATGCACAAAATCCATGAATAGACAGGGTTTTACACTCAAGCTCAGTAGGACTTTTTTACATGGGATTAGCGATAAAAAGAAAACATTATAAGTAAACTATGAGACATTTTTTAGATAAACGATGACTCTATTGACCAAATATTATTGATAGCAGAATGTATTTCTACAGATATTGTCATAAGAATCTAGTTCAGCAACCCTAACAGTACACTAATTCTCTACATTATATAAACTCTTATAATATTTATTTAATTAATATTTAAATTAGTAAGTAAAACTGCTTGAGGCGTATTTTTTCTTTCTACTTCTCAAATAATGCAATATTTAAACACGAACAACAAAAATATGAATATAATACTCTTATTAAGCTATGATAAGAATATATTAGTTAGTTCTTAAAAAAATTATAAAGTATTCATGTAAACATATTTTTTACCTCAAGTAATTATTTATGTGAGGATTATAAGAAGAAAATCGAGACTACCTATGCTCATATTCTAACAAATAAAATATTTTCTTTTGCGATCGAAAAAGTAGACCTTATTATCACGTTATATGCTCGATAGATAATAAAGGAAAGATTTCCTGAATCTATAGGAAATATGGCAATGATGATTTAGCTTGTGATACAAAATCAGTAAAATTTTTATTACAATATACGAATTAAAATGTGTTCAACACGTAAACTTAAGTATTTTTCAAAAATTAAATAATACCTAATAATTGTTTTCAGCTTATTTGAAAAATAATGTTGTTGATAACGATCGACAACAAAAATAATGTTAATCCATAATCTAGAATTTCTCAGTTAATAGAATCGCGTGAATGATAAATTAATTTGAAATGCAGTTAATTATATTGTTTAATAAAAGGACTTGCCGTTCTATTCACTTAAACAAATAAAAGCGCACACTCATCGTGATTTGACATGGGATAGAATGAGAAATTCTAGTAATAAAGATCTACTAATTATCTTCATCTATGCAAGACAAATATCCGCTAGAATCAGGAAATCCTATAAAAATAAAAACGTTGCACTTGATTGTTATGTTACAATCAGATAGTTTGAACGAGTTCATTGATCATAAAACAAAATTCTTCTTATCTCTAGTCTTAAAAATGATAATTTACAATACAGAAATCTCACCAGCGAACGATTTTTATCATAAATGAAAAATAAATGTTCATCTATGTAAAAGTTCATCCTATTAGCTATAATCATACATCGCAGCGCTTGTCAGGATTCCAACGAAAACATTATTTGCAAAAAAGGTCCCCCTCGTGATTTATCAGCACATGGCGATGTAAGCCATTGTATAATACAAAAGAATATGTAACACATGGGCTTATTGAGCCATTATGAATTAAGATTGTTTTTCATAATTATGAAGCTTGATCAAATGAAGAAAATACGGATATGATGTATCAATTTTCTATTGAAATATATACTTCGTCGATTCATATAACTAATCTGTTTATATTTTTCAAAGATCATTACTTAAATTTATAGTTTAAAAACTCTTACAATAAAAATAATCATAAATTTTACAGTAAACTTAAGTATACTCTCAATCATTGGATCTCTTATTAATCTATCGTACTAAATTTAGATAAGAAACTAAGAATAAGTGATAAGAATTCTGTGAATTCATGTTTTCTCCCGAAAACAACAAATAATAGAGAAACGAAATAGAATTCTAATAGTGTGCATTTTCTTTTCTTTCTTCGTAGTTTGTCACGCAAATAAATAAAAGCAAAAGCGCACCCTGCAAGACTACGACACGTAGCATGTCGATATAAAAGATGCAAGAGTATGTCAACAACGCAATGAACGTAGAATATTTAATAAACAGTAAAGGACCAAGACTCTCAAGTTAATTGCATGCCTTTCTATTCGCAGTGCTGTACAACGATGACTTAGATCCTTTGGACTTGTTCGTTATGAGTCTCATTATTGTTCTAGAAATTTTATTCAAAATCTCTTTATTTTCAATAGTTCAAATGGCTATTTTGTAATTTCATAAGATATAGAAATATATGAACATAGCACAGTCATTGCTTTAAAACATAGTTGAGAATGCAAGACGTCTGTTTTTTAAATTAAAATTTCTTATCTTTCAAAATGACCGAAACAACATTTCTCATATAACGGAAACCTATGCGTATAAATCATCGATTTTTTAAATAATTCTTGAGAACTACTAATCATTTTCATTTTATAAGACGTTATACTATATTGACTAGCATATTATATATTGTTCAAAAATTAATATATCACACTTATGAAAATAAATGCTACATTATCACGAAGATTATTGGTTTTGAATTGAATAACAAGTGTTTTTTGATATATTATGAAATATAATTGGTCTGACCGACAGGGAACATCAAAAGTTGTAGACGTTTTAGCGTCACTAGATGAATCCAGTAACATTAGAGAGTTTCTTTTAACTCGGTCGTTACTTTGAATAAGTATTTATTGGGTTTCTTTGGGAACATTTTCCCGTTTCCATCAAATAAGGCATCTCTCAATGTTTTTGTGTACTCAAAAAGTGAGTACACTCTAGAATCGATCAGTGTGTCCGTCCATAGACAAGATAAATTCCGAAAGGAGAGTCAGATCGTGATGACATTTTTCACACAGTTCAATTTTATGAATATCTCGGTCGAGTTCGAAGATGAGAAGGATCCGTCAAGAAATGGTTGAGTTATCGAAAAAATTGTCATTTTTGACCAGACCATCCCTGAGGAAGGGATACAGGGATTTCTTTTTTAAAAAACAAATTTTTCTCAGGATTATTGACAACATATATAAATCGACTCAGTTTTTAACGCTGATTCCGAATCTGATATTAGTTTTGAACTAAATCGTAGCTTTCTAACGAATCATCGCCTGAAAAACGTCTCAAAATGCACAAAAAGTGCAACCAGAAATGAAATTGCCTAGTTTCTCATGATAATTTTCGTGTTCAGACATTCTAGAATGACTCATATGTCCCATGCACTTTTGGCAGTATACATAACTCTCGGATGAAATCCGAAGTTTCCACATTTATTTTTTATTAGAAACTACTTTTCTAAAAAGTTTTAAATCATTTGTGCTTGAAAACTAACATTTTATTCCAGATTAATCGAGAATATTCTTTATATTCTATGAGTCGATGCTTTTCGTCTTACGTAAATCTAAACTCGCGGTGAGTATTCATCTTCTTTGCTAAGCTTTTTTCCACTTGAAAAGACATCTAATGTAGGACGTGACAGAAATTGCTATTCTAAATTAACCCTTGTTTTTAATCATTATATCAAAAAAATTTCCACTAATTACAACGCTATTTTTAATGCCTTTTAGAAATATGGTGACATCATTACTTTTTGAGTCTTAAAACATAAGAGTAAAATTAAAAATCGAGGCATGTATTGTGCGTTATACATTGTTTAATGCTGTTCTAGATAAAATAAAATAATGTTCAATACTCATGCTGGATACTGACGAAGAATGCAGAGTAACTAATTGAGTTGTTTCTGTACATCATCTTTCTTAAGGAATGTTTGTCTCAAACTTAGTGACAAACAGATGTGCGGTTTGAATGTACTTTTTACAACATCGATTATCCATAGGAAATGTTGAATATACACGATGCGTAAAAATAATTTCTATTATATTTATGCTTTAGGGCAAACTTATTCATTGGAAAACTAGCCTCAACTAGATTTTTTTGTATTGTTTTGCACATACAAATAAGATTTCTTATATCTTACGAACATTAATACTATTAAGCGCCGCACGAAAACGAATCTATTTTTTGAGAGAAACAAACTAGTTTAGAACGGAATGAATAGTCTACTTCTAGGTTATAGAGGTATATCATAGTTGTTGTCAAGGCATTTCACTAAGTATCATGATGTATATGTTAATAAAGCTGTTCAAATGCTGCAGAAGCATCAACTAGCTTATGTAACGAAAATACGATGTTTTCATCGAATAGGATATAAACAGTTAATTTATCGTAGAATTTCAGAAATACTAATTCTGTCGGCGAGTACAACATGAAGTTTTCTATTATTACGGCAAGGAACGTTACGTTTAATCATCGTCAATTAGACTAGACTCAATATTTAAACTTTTACCAGAAGTAGACGTCAAAAAATAATCAAACAGTTATATGTTTTTAGTTCAAAATACCACAGTTAAATTTAATGATGTAATTATTAATATTTTGTATATTGAAACGAAGGCAGAAAAACGATGCCATTACGAATCACTATTTTGACACAGAGATAGTTTCAAGTGTTATCAAGGAAGAAGAAATTGTCAGATAAGAATTAATATTACTTCATCTGAACTAAAGATAAAATTGATCGAGGTGGTAAAATACTTTAATAATGCACAATGCAAATGAAGTTCTCCTGCGGTAAATAAGTAGAATAAGACTAGAGGCCTTTTCCGCAGCGAATAAAATGTGATTAATCTCAAATGAAGCGAATTTTGAACTCAACATCACGCTTCGCTCATAATGACATATGAATTTGATCTCATATGTCACCATAAATGATCTCAAATCATAACTAGCAAAGTTCTTTTGGCCGGAGTTGATCACTTTAGTGACGAATTCTAATTATCGAATACAGAAGCATCGAAAACGTGATGTTACACTCTCAGTCATAATCTCTCATCGATATCTTTCTTTCAGTTTTTGGAAGTATTATACCATCGTTAATAACAATCGGAAGTAATATAATATCTGTATGTCGTGTACGTGAATTAAACCGGTTAACATCAATTTACATATTGCCGTGTCGTCGTCGTACAGATGATACACGTCGCATATTAATTGTTATCACAGTTGAATGTTTGCTTGCCATACTCAATTCATGGTTTAGTAATATGGTACTTTCATTAGTTTATTGTCAAAGAAATCTATTAGCAGGTGACGATTGTCCTGCGTACTTACAACAAAATTATGATTTATTGGTCATGTTTGATATGTTTAATTCCGTTTCAAATATAATTTTACATTGTTTATGTGGTAAACGTTTTCGTAATGAACTTCGACGCATGTTGAAATTATTTTTAAATTTGATCAAACAATGTTTTCATCGTGTATGGTGTTGTTATTTTCAAATCGATTGTCGAAAACTACGTAACGAACAAAACATTGCCTTCAATGCATCTATCGCACAACATGATAGTTCAAATAGTTCAGGAACTGCAACTCATAATCATGTTTATTTACAAATTCAAACATCTCGAACACCAAGTAGAAGAAATTGTTGTGATTTTCGATGGTATTTTAATCGAAGACCATTAGTTCCATCTCAAAAATGTGTAACGACAATATCAAAAGATTGTTTACCAAAAGATGACACCCCTTATGTTGTTCAATATCAATCATTAACACAGCGGACTAATATAGCAAAGCAAAGTCAAGTTCGTTCTATGAGACTCTATTATCCACCGCAACAAACAATAACATCGTTATCAAATAAAAATCACTGTTTAAATGCGCCTTAATTATTATTCTTTTATTTGTATATCTGTTTTCTTGCTTTGTTTTCTTAGAAACAATAAACTAAGCTTTTCATTAACAATAAGTGAATTTAAAACAAAAAACTTACAAAAACCTTTTTTTTCCGATTGACTATAGATCAACATTAAGAGATTTCGATCATATTTAAGAGAAGATTTTGATATAAAAATGCGATTTGAACACAAAAAAAAACTATCGCCCTGCATTCATTTTTGTCACAGACAGATTACTTGAAGGCTCTTCATCTATTTCATTATATGCTTGCTGGTTAATGCAAATACGAATGTTGTGATATGAGCCTTCTAAAATATACGTCTTTCTGTCATGAGAATCCCTTTATGAATGCATCAATTGTCAAAATATTTATTAAATACGTGGAAGCATTGAATGTTAATGCAATAAAGCGATCGTATTAATATTTCATATCATATTCTCGATTTATTTTGCAATATTACCGTCAGTATCATGCCAACTAGTTCTGATTTCCTGTGTGTTTGCTATTCTCTCAAAAACTGAGCAATGTTCCCAAGAGCTAAGAAATAGGAATTCTTTCTCAATTATTTGACTCTGTTAGATTTTTTTGCATTAAAGCGCAAATTGTTTCTCTGGTCATTAAACAAGTATCTAGCCAATTTCAAGAGTAAAGTGATCTGAAAAGGATTTCACAACGCTTGAAATTTGAACTTTTGTCCAGATAGAACTTAGCCATTCATTTATTCAAAAGTTCTTGCACCGGCACGAATCATAGAACACATTTTCTCCTTTAAATATTTGCCTAATGAAGTCAATATAACTATCACCATTATTTTCCCCAATTTTCTAGTTGAAACATGGAGTGCATGACGTAAATGAATTATAAAGTAATTCAAAATTCAATCAAACCTTCGCCTATTCTAACTATATTTACCAGGGTCTAGAAGGTCTACCAGTGTCTACGAGGGTGTAGGCGTGGTTGTGAATGAGAATGTTTTCTTCATGCCTAGCACCCAATCCTCACGATATTCGGAGACGAGTGCATGACAAATCTTAGTGATAGTATCATTGGGATTTTCCAAAAAAAAACTGTCACCTATCTACATATAGATAGATAGATAGGTAGGTAGATAGATACGTAGATAAATAGATAGATAGATAAATAGATAAATGGGTAGATCGAAGGGTCACGGTTGGTATCTGTGAGGGCACGGTTTTCAATCATGGTAACTGATTGATTTTCAGCCTATCGTGGCACCCACAGTTAAGATGTTATGTATGTGTGTACACGTTGTTTTCAGCCTTTCGTGGCACCCACACCCACACCCTCTGGTAAATAGCTGTAGGCCCTGGTAAATACGTGTAGACCCTGGTAGATACATGTAGACCCTGGTAGATATCTGTAGAAATTTAGTTTTAGCTCTGAATTATATTGTAATTCATTTGCGTCATCCAGTGGAAACATGAGAACCGAGACGTAGTTATTTAATATGATCGGAAACTTCATTTTGACATGGTAACATATAGGCTAGAAAAGCAATTATTTATGACTATCCGTAGGATTTCCTAGTTTTAAATATCGAATTAATGTATTCATCTTAGTATTCCCATGCCCGCACTGTCAGTTATACTACTACATTGCAATCAGTTCAATCTTGAACATTGTCATTTTGAAAAGCTCATTTCAATACAAGTTAAATCAGTGGTTGTTTCCATTTTATTTCAAGTTGAAGCAAGCTTCAGTTTCAACTTGGGTTCTCTGATTTCTAATTACATATAATGAAAAAGCAAGGCGGTAGCGAAGAACTGAAAGTAGGAGGGGTGTGGGTGCAACTGAAAAAAATTTGCATTCAAACCGGCACATGCATACTCATCTTGGTATAGTATATTGAGTTTTAATCAACAGAATTCATGAACTACATAGTTTCAACCAGAGATCCGAGACTTGCCAATACGTACAACGTCATTTTTCATGAATAAATGATAAATCGATATCGAAATCTAAGAATTTTACTGTAGATTTGTTTTTGAAGTATCTACTGACGATGAAACTTAACTAATCGGAAGAATGAATGACAAAACTCATATGACTATATTTTTGGCACAAAATTCAGATTCGACTAGACATAAATTGATACAATGAAGAAAAAATAAAATCACTGGTGCCACTAAACAATACCTTTTTTATTTTCATAAACATATTACGAATCAAATTTTTTAGAAGTCTATTCCAGCAGTTGAAGCTGTGTGTGTGTGTGTGTGTGTGTGTGTAGGATGGATAATTAGGAACAAAACAATATCCTGGAGCTTCTGCAGCTCTATGTGTTTTCAGGAGATCGAATAGTTCTACACCAGAGCATCACATAATGCTATTTTCTAAATATCAAGAGTTCCGATTCCACCAGAGCTCATGAGATCCGGACAAGTCTCTATCGATACGTTAGCTGACACTTAAGTCTTTTTTTTTCATTTCACTACACATTTGAGTGAAACACATGACCATATGAATTTATCTCTAGTCGAATCCTAATTTTCTCCAAGAAAAATCGAATTTCCAATGTTGTCAGAAAAAATCCTGATTTTTATTGGCATTCTAGTTTGGATCCGGTAAAATTAGAATTAAAATTTCGCTCTGAATACATACTTATCTATTCAATCTAATCCAGTTATTTCGTTTTTGTAATTTTGTATTTTTTTTCAACTTATTCGTATGTGTTAACAGTACTTAAGGAGATATAAAGAAATAAAAGATAGTAATTATTATTATTATAGGTGGCTGAGAAACTACCTAAAAAGATCTTGTTGAAGATAGATACTAGGCGAGGCAGCGATATTCAACTCGCCAGTACGACGAGGCGGTGGCGAGTCGTGTTCTCGATTGACTCGCGGATCTCTGGTTTCAACTAACAGAAAAAAAACTTCCAAATGATGACTTCATTTTCAATTAACTATACATAAACACAACTTTGTAATATTTTATAAATTGTTGAAAAATAAAATTCACATTCTTTTTGATTGATTTATTGAAGAAGGTATTTTATTACAGTTTATTAATCGTTGTCTTTTCTTATTGATAGATTGATTGAATAATCATTCCTCACAATTTTTGAACATTGAGATCAAATTCAAATTCAATTATCTGAACATATAAATCATTTGCCTTTCTTTTTCTTACTGAAGTGAATACAGAATTCTAGATATTTATTTGTTTATTCTTAGATTTGACCGTTATGTTTTTGTTCACGAAGAACTGATACCAATTTACATTCTGATAATATCTTTCGAAATTTATCAATAACGCTTGAATAATATCCTGATGTATAGAATATATTGATGTTAAAACAATAATTAAAAATAATTGTTTTATCTTTCAGTATTAAATGGACTCACCGAGTCACGTATCAACTATCGGATCAGTAGACTAATTAATTAGTAATTGCGTTTTGATCCATTATATGGCGCTGATGGGTGAATAGTTTGTAAAATTGATTTTATGATTTCAAAGCATGGCAGACAAAAAAAAACTATTGGAATTAAACTAATTTACTTCAATCTTTCTTCACTTTTATTAGACTTCAGTGACATTTAAATCATTTAGCTTGATTGCTTTTATTTTCATGCACTACTCTTTTATGCCCAATCTAGAAACCGATAATATACCTCGTAATGTCTTTTCTGTGTTCGTCAATTAAACGTCCAGAGCCTCGGAAAAACTTTTAGTTCGAACTTTTCTATGGTTTTGTTATTGGATGTTATACAGAAGAACGAAATATTGTTTGCAATACTTTCGATGTGAAGAGCAAAGCTGCTGATAAGACAACTCATTATTCAAAAGAAAGTGAAGCAAATTGATACTTTTTATAAGATATGAACCGAATGACTTACATAGAATAATGATTTGTTTGAATCAGATAAAAATTTCTGAAACAAACATACTTGCAAATAAAACATCAAGATTTGTATCCAACCGAAACGAGATCAAAACGTCAAATCATCGTTTTCTTATGCCGTAATATCTGAGTTGAACAAATGAATAATGAAACATTACCAAGATGTGGTAGCAATAGCAGCAGCTCGTATCTCTTTCGTTCTCAACATGAGTTGTCATCAAACAAATAACGATTACACCAGATGAGTCTATTAATTGAAATAGGATCAAATACAAGCATAGCCAATAAGAAATAATTTCAATTATCATAACAAAAAAAAGAGATGGAGAGAGAGAGAAAATGAGAATGGATTATCTTAAATAGGTCAATTAAACAGATGTGTCAAATAGTTGACTAATCTTGATCATATCTAACATTTAGGAGAAAAAAAAAACAGAAACGATAAAACAGTCTAATGTATGAAAGTGAAATTATTGAATATACAAATCGTCATAAAATGGAAGAAACAACAGCTAAAGTATTTGCTCGTTTAAGTCATATGAAAAGTATTCTTTATAAAACTATTAAAAGTACGTAGATTTTGTTTCTAATCAAAGTTTCAATTAATTCTAAAAATATGATAATATAATTTAGAATCATCTTGTGGTACTATTTCAAAACACAACGGTACCTATTATTCGCCAACAAGCGATGATTATGACCAAAAATCTGAGTCAACATTAACATCATTGATTGATGTAAGCGCTGGTTAAATATAATAGAAATCTTTGGAAACATTCGTATATTTTTTTCTCCTTCATAATATTAATAGGATACATCAGAAGATACAATTTCATCGATCAGTGCAGATTCTATGGATTCAGGTGTTTCCTCTGTATTAAGTGACTTTTCACACTATTCATTATCGTCATCATCAACATCATTACTTAATCGAACAGCAACAAGCATACCTAAATCATGTCATTTGAGGTGTGATCCATCGATCATTAACTACATATCGCATAATCTATTAACAACTCATCGATCGGAACTCTTTCTCAATGAAATCGACGATCCAAATATTGAAGAATCTCCATTGATACAAATACCATTAGCCGAAAGTAGTCGTCGTATTGTACATGAAAATGAAGAAAATGATCAGACTATTGTTGCTGAAGATGAAGACGAACAACAATCGGGCCCATTAACATCGACATTAATCGATCGATGGTATTCCGTAACCAAAGCGTATTCAGCAACATTTCGTCAAGATTTAACTGTGAGAAAAAATGAACTCGTGCAAGTACTGCGTTCAACACATCCACATTGGGTTTGGGTGCGAAATGAACATAGTCAAGAAGGATTTGTGCCAATCGATTGTTTGGTTGCTGCCTAGATGTAAAGACTAATATGAATTATTTTCTGCTTTTTTTCTTCCTCAAATACGAATTGTTTATTCAGACGAAAAAATAAATCATGCACATTCTTTGTGAATATACACATGCTAATGATTTTTCTTAACTTTGAAAATTCTATCTTATCAACAATTTTGTAGGCTGCCAATATTTGAGACTGTGCAATCGCATATTTATCAATAAATTGAGTAGGTAGTGCATCTTATAGATCATTTAGTATGAAATGATGAATACCATAAAAGATGATTATCAATTGAATAGACACAGTTTTTATTGTTTTATTGTCGAATGAAATAAAATACAACAAATCGTAATTATGAAAATATGCGACAGTCAAACAAAATTCGTCAATGTCAGCCATTCTTTACCAAAGCCATCATTTGTTCGATCGATGTCTCGAACATGTCGATTGACATATTTAATGCTTGTAGTCGGTGTTTTTGGCGTTGATGATGGCAAAATACGTGCCAACAAGAATGAGAGACGAGTCGATACTAAAAATATGCAAGAAAGATATATATATTCATTTGCAGAATCCAATAGAATTTTCACCTTTCATTGATCGTTTAGTTATAACGACTGCTTGTGATACATCAAAATCAGATTGATTGATTGAAACAACACTAAAATCAGCAGTATTATTATTAATAATACTATCTATGACTTTCCAGGACGATGTACTAGTCGGAGAATGAACGTTATTCTAAATTAAACAATGTTATTAGCTTTCATAATTTTATTTTAAACCTCTGCGCACTTTTTTCGTATTGTTTCGTTGAGGCGTTCGATCAATAGACAATAATGAATCATCAATAATCGTAAGATCACTTAGAAATACTTGATCTTCGTTGCTTAGCAGAGTAATGCCAGGCGACATAGTAGATGTTAGCATACGAATTGTTTTTCGTTTCGTAATTGCATGTCGAACTGGCGTTTGTTCAAAACTAAGTTCAGTGCACATACCAATTCGTTTAAGAAGTCGTTTAGCACTTGATTCTACTGCACGGATGGGCGTTGAAAAAGACATCATCTTTGTTTCTAGCCGTTGATTTTCGTTATGTTCCGAATGTTATGAATTGACCATTTGCTGTTCTCTACATTTATACGACGGTACCTCTGAACGAATCAACCGTATCAATAGATAGACAATTCTTTGATTATTATGTAATGTCAATGTGCAGATGTATATTGCCCGAACGATTAGTGATCGTCATAATAATGAAAGAATGATCACATGTGTGACATATACGCAATACATGCTTTTACGTTTTTGATAACATATACTAGTAATTGATAAAAAAATCTAACTCATATTGAAGATTTGGATAACTTATTTAAAAGAATTTTTTGTTTAGAATGATAAACTATACAAAATTATGTTAGTATCAGATCGTTTTTCAGTGTGCTTTGTCTCGATATGAAAACTCTCGTGATAATATTCCAATTTTTAATAGACAACTATCATCACATAGAAAGCTACTATATGACTTATATTGAAAAGTCTTCACTGATAATATAAAGCAGTAGCAATTATTCACTATTTTTATTCTATATATAATGTCTTTTGTCGCTGAAGTTCCATTTGAAGTTATTTCCTCTTCACGGGGAAGAGAATGATCAAGAGAAAAAAAGTCATACTCATTTCAGTAACTATCATAGTATGACAAATGAACATCAAAACGAAGAAGCAAGATGTTAGTCTCCGGGTGTTCAATAGGAGCATGTTACGAATGTAAATATAGTACACTAAGAAATTTCCATGTTAAAATGTTTTCAAACATCAGTTTAGATATCTGATTGCTGTATTACTGCTTTTTATTCATCAAGAACACAATGTTTATACTACATATTTAGTCTGTAGCTACGTAGAAATCTTTGCAACCAGTAGAAAAAGTAAAGTAAAAACAGTAAGCAAATAGAGCTAATCTTTTTGATATGTATGACTCGTACGAGTGGCAAAATGTGTGGTGTAAACTTTCTTTTTTCCTCATTGGTATCTAGCTTGTTAACGGATTGGGCGCCGATAATGACAACAGGCTACTTAATATAGCAGGACAGTAACAAATTGGAAAAGAAATGCGGTTCTTTTGAATTCTTATTAATATTTAGGTATTCAAAAAAAGAAAAGCGTATAAAAACTATTCACTGTAATTATAACGTAGCAAACGATGCCAGCAATGAGCACAACACCTACTGTGCTGGCAACATTGAACAAGAGTAAGCCGAGAACATCAATTCTTCGCTTTAAAACTGAGCAGCAATGTCCAATATAGAATGTGACCGTTTATCATGATCGTGCTGAAGTTACACGTCTTTTGGAATATCATTTAGATGTTGAAGGTACTTATGATTTGATATTGGAAGGCTTTTCTCCATTTGTTGATTCAACATCATTACATGTTAGAGCAGGAACGGAGTGCAAAGCAAGTGCTATCCTTGAAGTTTCATATGAAGCATTTTTTGACAATAAAACATCGGAAACTAGTTGAACACCATTGGATCAGCTAAAATGTGAACTCGATCCGATTGAAGCTGATATCGATGCTAATCGAGAAGAATTAGTACGTCTTGATAAACAGCTTGCATGGCTTGATGGACGAGCATTGAAACTCATGAGTCAAGATGGACAAATCAGTGATCTGGATCCATTACACGAGTTTATGGATTTTTATCATACATCTCTACAAAAGTTGGATGAACGAAAAAGCAATGAAGGAAATGAAATCAAAAGATTAATACAACGACTAGATAGATTAGAAGAAAAAGTTACTGAATCAGATTTTGATGTTTTAATACATGGTCGAAATGAACATCGAGAAATGATTATTACAGTACATATAGATCGTAGTAATATTGATGTTAATTTAGAAGTATCCTATTTTATAAGTAATTGTTCATGTAGTGCTAGCTATGATGTTCGTGTGAATAGTTCAGAAATAGTTAAAAGCACCACTCAACTAACGTACCATGGTGTTGTCGTATGCATCTGAAAAATTGTTCTACTTTTCAAATATATGTTCTATATTTTAGTTGAACAATAGTCAAGAGAATTGATCTGATGTACAATTATCATTGTCGACGACAACTCCATGTCTTGTAGGCATGCCACCAAAATTGCCTACATTAAAAGTCAATTGCTATCGTCCTTGTCATAGATATTATGAACTAGGCGAAATAGAGGATAAAAAGGATGATTCTTGTTCAAACTCAGAATATGTTCCTTCTGATGCTCAATCGATTCGTTTATCGAGAACACACCCAACGTATTTATAACGTCGCAAGAACAAGTATCTACCGATTCGAATAAAGTCCTTGCCGAAGATGAACTAGATACGCCAAATATAATTTATGCTTCATCAACTTCAACTGAAACAAGTATGTTAAGTGTAACTTTTACTATTCCGAGACGAACAACTATCCATACCGATGTAAGTTTTTATTTGTCTTTCAAATTATTTCTATTTCGAACAATAAATCTTCTGACAGGGCACGCCACATCGTGTAACAATTGGTGTTCTTGATTTTAATTCAAAATTTATTTATACAATTATACCTAAACTATGGATTCATGCATATCTCAATGTATCAACGATAAATACATCTAACAAACAGCTCGTTGCTGGACCCGCAGCAAGTTTTATGAATAACCATTTTGTTACTCATAGCTCCATTGGTATTATCTGTATCGATGGTAAATTCGATCTTCCACTAGGTACTGATGCAGGTATTAAAGTAGACTGTCAACCAGTGAAGACAATTATCGATACACAAGGTCTTATTTCAAAAACATATTTTGAAAATATTCGTCGTGAAATACGTCTTTTCAATACAAAACCAATCGAAGTAATTGTTTGTGTTTATGATCGAATATCACTTTCATTAGATGAAAGAATTAAAGTAAAACTAGTTGTACCTGATTTACGAATGAAAGAGCCAATTCCAAGTTATTATGTGACACTGAATGACGCGGATAATCTTCATTGGAAATGTTTAGTACAAACTGGCAGTGAATGCCAATTGTCACTCGAAGATACATTAGAATGGTCAACAGACAAATGTATTGAACTTCGAGAAGAATCGGAATAATTTCCCTATCAATAGACTTTTTCTATATTACAGAAATAACGATATTCTTCTCTTATCGTTGCTGCTCTATCACACTTAATATTTCTATTTCATTGTTTTCTCGATAATTGGTACAAATTTTTGATAAGATTGCTAACTATTATTTTGCTCATGTTCTCAAGCAAGGTGAATGCATATCTGTTCGTTTTCAGCTGAAAAAATCATGTGTATCTTAAGTTGCTTGTCTTTTACATAAGTCTTAACCTTTTTATTTACAACAAAAAAAATTATTTTGAATGTTTTTTTAATATTTGATTACAAGTTAAGATTGAATAGATTTGAATTGTTATATAAAACGACAAAAAAGAATTTCTCGAATGAATATGATTCAGTAAAATCATCACGACACTGTGAATCTATAGTACTATTAGTTCGTTTTCAAGTTTATATTTTCATAGGTACATATATCTTATTCAAAAATACTTCTACTGAAGGATAATGTAGAATTCTTTTTAAGTTTATCGAATGATTTTATTTCAATCTTGATATGACAACGTTTCGCTCTCGGTATTTATAATGATGAATTATTGATGTGTCAATCATAAGATTCTTTTCAAACGTAATAAGATAGGTTTTCTTTTTCGATCAACAATTATATATTTTTCGACTATTAGCAATAGCAATGAATCATACCGTGAAAGTTGCACTTATTTTTATCATCTAATTCGTAGCATCATATATATGATCGTTCTTATATGAACTGTTTACAAACTGTTCTATTATCTAATATTGAATCATTTTACTTTTGAATACTAGAACATTCATTAAAGATAAAGTCATGCTAAATATTGTTTTGTAAATCAATCAATTTTTCGTTTAAAACATGACTATCAAAATATGCACATTTTCTTCGTTGAGTCGTATTTCGTCACTATTAATCATGACTCTGTAGTTCATGTTTCAATGATATCATCATCATATATCATGTTTTTTTCCCGTTTTCTCGCTTGGCTATATTCGCCATTTTCAGCTGCCTACGCGTCATCTTGTCATCGTCAAGCTTTCACGTATAGTGCACGTCTATTTGTCATTATCACGAACACTTTTACTTTTTTTCAGCATTCAAATTATACAAAAAAACACGAGCTAGTTACATATTTCGTCCTCCATACTTTTTTCTTTTTTTTTTTTATCTTTCTCGTTCTCTCTTTTTCTCTTTCTCTTTTGGTTTGGGTCTTTTTACAAGTATCTCACCTGTACTACCGCCAGTGTCATCACTCTTCGGGCATGGTTGAGTGATCTCGTATTGGTTCATATACGTGTATTTAGGAATCGCCTTCGAGATTCTATATGTGTATGTACACACGGAGCATCATCGTCATCGGTTCTGTCATGTTTTTGGAGGCCTTTTACTATCCTGTTCTCACTTTCTCGTTTTACTTGTCACTTTTTTCTTTTTGCCTCTCTCCTTTACGGTCCGTCTGTGTTTGATAGGACACGTTATTAGTGGTTTTTTTTTGTGTGAATGATATATTGTTATAATTTGTTTTCTTTTTTTCGCTTACCGATCAACAAAAAACAACAAAAATTGGAAAAGGGAGAAAGAAAAAGACAGAGAGAGAGAGAGAGAGAGAGAGAGAGAAGAAGAGGGGGAGAGAGAGTACCGAATCGTTCTTACGAGAGAGAGGTATTGCATACCGTGCCAACAGGCAATAGATGCCAATGATATAGATTAAAAAAAAAAATTCTTAAATTTTCTTTTTCTTTTTTTTGTTTAAGTCGTTGCTGCTTAGACTTGCCGTGTACGTACCAACATAATGTCCTTTCGACCACCAAGATATGCAAGTGCTGGTCGATACCCAGTGTAAGTTACACTTTCACCAGAAAATAAATAGAAAAAATTAATTAATTTTTTAATTGATTTTTTTTAAATGTAGACGAGGACCTACATTTATTCCTAAAGCGCCCGCACCTGCTGGCGGTCCTGGCGTAAGCTCTGGTGTTCTCGGTTTAATCGGCGGTTTAGCTACTCCGATTCTTTGTCTTGGCTGTCTAGCAACAATGGCTGTTCTTGGACTTTTCGCCACTATGATAGGTGCTGCAGCCTATATGAGTATGTGATTGTTACTTTACTGCGGGTTAGTAAGTCTTCATTTCTTATTTCTTGATCTATCTAGACGGAATTCAAAGTCAACTACGTAAAAGTATTCAAGGTGCTGGAACGACGATTGAACTCAATATTTTAGTGCTTATGTGTGCTCTTCTATGTTCTATCTATGTATTAACAAAACATCGACGAGGTGCTGCCATTAGCTGTTGAGTGATGAACAGATACCTCTATTCAAATAACATCAATATACAAACTTTAAAATAAAACGCATCCATGTTTATTAAGGAGAACTAATTTTTTTCTATTTTTCTCTTTTCTTACAACACTACTATATTTCCTTCTTATGTTTTGATGACTATTTTTTTGCATCATTTATATTTTGTGCGCTAAAAAGAGTTTCTTGGACAGGTACAATGTGTGAAAATATCGTCCACAATCGTCAGTCATCGTCATCGTCGTCATCATTGTTTTTTTTTGATAAAAAAGGACAAAAGAAAGCTACTTAATTGTTCGTATCGAAAAGATATATAAATGCCTGTATTACTTTTTTTTGTCAGTTTTTTTCTTATTTGTGTTGATGAATAATAAAAAGCAAGAGGAATACGTATTTGTTTTCAAAAAAAACAACTCACTGTTTGATTTCTTTTAGATTTTCAAATATAATTTATTCAGTTAAATGGTTTAATGAAAACATGATAGTGCTACATTGTTTAAATCTTGATTTAAACAGCTCTTTTTTTTTCTTTCGTCTTGCCGAAACATTGATGATCATTACAAGTCAATTTTGGTTATCAAGGTTGATTTTCGTTTTCTTGCTTATGCGCTGATCAGAAAAAGCCTGTATTTCATTTCTTTCACGCGTACTTGCGTTCGTTTTTATGTGTTACGCATGATCAAGTTTCTTTTTTCGTTTTACACATAGATTGGCATACTCATCGTTAAATAAGGAGGCTGATGTGTATAACTTGAATTTTCTTCTTCTTCTTCCTTTTCTCTCTTTTTTTTCCCATTACCACAGGTAGAAATATTTCTTCTATATCATAAGTCACGCATATTGAAGAAACAGTAGTTCCTTTCGTTTCTTCTGCTCTTCGTGTACTATCCCCGATTACCACGAAGGAAAAAATGCCGTCAACCATGACGCGATTGTGTATAGCTTGGTCTCCTTCGAATAGAACAGAGAGCGATGCAGAATATGAAGAAATGCATAGTATCGTATTTTTTTCAAACAATAATAAGCGTTGAGTCCTATTTGCAGCTAGTTGATGCAAAGGAAAAGAGAGCGCGAGAGAGAATGCCTGTAGAAGGATTTAATTGTGGGTATTTATTTTTTTCTTCTTCATGAAAACAGCACACATCGAAAAAGTCTTCCCTCTTTTTTTTTCTTTTTGCCAATTGATCATTAACGATAGAATTTTTTCTTTATCACTATCGTGTAGATCGTTATCCGCTATAAAGTGAGAATATGTACCGTCCAAGGTAAGTTTGACCAGTAATATCTCTGTTGTTTTGTATTATAATACTATTTGTATATTAGATCACGATTACCACCCCCACCAGCAGCCAGTCGCGGAGGAGCAGGCGCCCTTGGCGGATTATTAGGAGGTTTAGGCGGCGCTGTTACCTGTCTCTGCTGCCTTACAGCACTTGGTTTGATTGGCCTTTGGTTAACTTTCATTCCATTTGTTGCCTTCTTTAGTAAGTTATATATATATATATATGTATGTATATATATTAATAAAATAATTTCTTTCTCTAACTAGAATATGCATACGATCAAGAAGTAAGAGCCTTTGGTGGTAGCCCAAGCATCCAAAATCTTCAACAAGTTGGTTTTCTTCTTGCAATCTGCCTGTTAACGGTCCGTTTCTTCAATCGACATATTTCTATATAAACAAAAATTCAACGAAATAAAAACTCATTTTCGAATATCTAAATTCACGTCGTCGTCATCGTCGTTTTTATGATTGAATTTTTTTGTTGAACATAAACGTGTATATGCGCGCAGAATAAAGACAAAGAACAAGAGAAGAGTCGCCATTATATCGTTATCCACTACTACTCTCAACACCACATTTTCTCGGTTTTTTCGTTTATCTGTCTTTCTATAATTTTTTGTCTTTTTATTTTCGAAAAAAGTTTTTTTTTTCTACTGAACAAAGCACGCGTCCGTATATATCAATTTCTATATTTATTTACTATCTTATGAAAGTTTTCAACTATAACCAGGCTCTAAAACAATGTAATACTCTATGAAATATCAATGATTGAACAAATTCAGTTCTATCTGTCTTGATTAAAAATAATATGAAAGGAATATAAATTTTATATAAACTATTTCCGTTAAAGCAAAGGAGCACGTCAAAAGACGAGAAAAAAAATCTTTATGAACACATGAAGCCTTTTCTATTTGTACTTTTAGTAAAACATATCGCATGTCCATCAATTTCTAGTTTTCGTGTCTGAGTGAAATAATATTTCAAAATAGATAGATAAGAAAAGAGATGACAACATTGCTCGATGTACAGAATGTTTAGAAAAGTTTTCCAAATAATCATAACACTGAGCATAATTGTTGCTCTCTGTCGACATGTGATTGCACATTTCGTGTTGTACATAGATAAATTGAGTGAAATTCATGCATAAACCGTGTACTCAGAGCGCTGAAGTAATTTTACTATTCATACTTTTGAGATTAAGAAAAAAAGCAGCAAACATTTTAAAACTTCAACAGGTCAGAGCACTTAATTTGTTACTGAGTAACTGTAGAATTTGAAATTTTTTCAGCGGATATGAAAATTCTAAGAACACTAATATTGCATTTACTTAAATTCCTAAGTTTCTGAAACAAGACACGTTTTTGAATACACAATTAGAGCTCAACAGACACCAAAGACGTGGTCATTAGAACAAACTGTATTTTTTAGGTAATAGTTATGAAAATTTCATTCGAATAATTGTAGAAAAAAAAGTTACTCAATAATTTGATGATAATCGACGAAATGACATTTTTCATGAATATGATCAAAATCATTAAAAATAGGTGTGAACTTTTGTTTTGTTGTCAGTCGAATTAAAAGGATAGATTTTGATACCAAACTAGTAGACGTGTATTCGCTAGAGAGTTCTTTAGCTCTATTACACAATAGAAATGAGTAACCTGGATTTATATAAACAATGAAGAGCTGAAAAATAAATGGAACGAATTCACAATTCTTTTACAATAGTAACAGATGGAAACATTATCGCTAGAACTAGATGAACAATAACGGAGAATTAACCGTTCTCTTCTTTTATTTCTAAATATTGTATCATTCTATACAGAAAAATTATCAAAACCAGTGATAAACAACGAAGAAATACTACATGAAAATATATTTCATCCAATGGAAAAAAATAAAGATATGAAACTTGTGACGTTATTCACTAGCAAACAGACAACGTAACCTGGTAAAATTTTAAAGATTTTGCCTATTTTTTAATGAGAACGATATAATTTAGAATAGTTTCACACAATGAATTCCTTCCCTAAAATTATCTTTATGATCACAAAATAGAAGCATCGTGCTCAGCTTAGTTTGTCAATCTGATGAATTAGGAAAGGTTTCTGCTTTAGAAATGACTTTTCCAGCAGATATTAATGATTTGAAAGGTATGAAACTTATTGAATGATGTAAAATAGACATGCGTGCATCAATAACAAGTGTCGAATGATAACTTCAACAAGCGAGATTTTGTTACATTTTTACTAGGAACACCTCCCTGATCTCTTTAAAAAATAAAATAGAGATGCTCTTGTACGAAGTAACAATCTTTCGTTGATGTCATTCAAATCGTATGCAATCGACTGTTCTCATAAAGAAAATCATTCATCAATCTCTATCATTGTTATTAAAACTCGAAAAGTCCTTCAAATATTCTAATTCTATTATATTCTTTAATCGTAAGGTGAAACTTTACTGAAAATAGATTTTTTAACAGCAGGATTATAAATTTTTCAGACATAAATCATTCATGTCAAGATTAGAAACTGATAGAGATGTGCTTATTATTTTCTCAATATTTCTTCAAAAGATAAGAATTGCTACTTGATGAAAAATCAAGAGGGGAAAAGCAGATCCCGGGATCCAGCGGGATCTGTAAGGATCCAAAAATCTGAATCAGAATCAATTACAATTGATCGGCTTTTTATCAATATTATGATAATCTGTGATAACAAGTAAATCGATGAGATTCTTAAATGGTGATAGTTCATACAAAATATGTTCCTAGAGAATTTCAGGGATTCACAAAGTATCGACAATTGTAGGAAAATCTTGAAACAGACAACAGCTGGCGCATTTTTCATTCATATTTTAAAATTAACTTTTGTGATAGTTTAACGGGGTAGTGTCGGTAAAAAATGCTTTCGGTGCTTTTCCTTGACGAAAATGCTCATTTTAGCCGCCGAGTATGGAATACAACTATTTGATGTTTTTTTCATTATGGCCGGTGCTATTTCGTGTGCTTTTAATATAAAAATTTGAAAGTTGAGACATTTATATTTAAAAAAAAGGCCATCGAATTAATGTGAGCATTAAACTTTCTCAGTATAGTTCTCATTAAGCAATTTTGCAAAAAGTAAAACGGCTCTGATGCAGATCGAGATCTGCTGGAATCAATAAAGATGCATAAGAACCCTTGAAAACTCAGTAAACATACACAGAATCGGTCACAGAACTTCTAAAACAAAAGAAAGATATCCTAGAGAATAGGGTTCTGGTGAGAGATGGCGAATTTTGTGACGCACATTTATAGATAAGATCGATCGTCTTTCAGATTTTTCACATTGAATTCTGGTTATTACAGAGCCAGTTCATTTTATCTGAATTCATGTGGCCGTTAATTTTGTATAGGTAATGCTGCTACTTTATTTGCAAGAAATTCGCATATTTTCAGTTAGATATGTGATACATGGGCGTGGTTCGGTACGCAGGTTCCTCGCTGTTCGCTAGAAAAACGAGAAGACCTGAACGAAGGTTACGCACAATATCTTAAGATGTTGAAAAGCTTTTTATTGGAATTCAATAAAGACCGTATAACCAGTATTTACTATTTTGATTGGTAAAGGATCCAAGAAGTCGTTATATCTTTAGATCATTGTTTAGCCAAGCATTTCAAGATTAGAACTAGATTTAATTATAACAGTATTTCATCAGGATCTTGAGCAATTTCGCGTTGCAATTCAAATAGCAGATGATTGGCGAAACAAGAAATGTTGAGAGATAGTGCAGCAATGAAATGAAGATAATTATGTTAATAAGCTAAAGCAAGAACTTTGAAGCATTCCGACTCTTTTTCCGTTGATTGTATACCGAAATCTTATCAGAATCTGAATTATTTCTAATTGACAAAATATTTCCTAGTTTCGCTCTTGACATTTTAACTACAAGTATATACGCATCTTACTCAATTTCCTCATACATTTCTGTAGGAATTTATTAGTAGAAAATACGAGAAATGAAGATTGAGAGTCTTGACCTCAAGATTATCGCAGTAGATGGTTTTATTTCTTAGCTCGACTAATATCTTCATATCGTGAATTTTCTTTGAACTATTATTAGCGTGTATTTCAACTTTATGAAAACATCAATTATTGTAAGAAGGATCCAAGAAACTTTAGCACTTAATATATTCATCTCTGTTCATGAATTTCTGTCAGTATTTGTTGATTTAAGTTTAAATAAAATATTCTTTTCTGGTTTTTAATACGGAGAAGAAAATTCGGAGGATGCTTTACCGAAGAATTGAGAGCTAACGAAAGAAGCTTGTTCAAGGAAAAACTAGTTTAACGACAACACTAATATTTAAATCGCTACTTTTATGAGTATTCAAGTTTTGAGTCACAATCAAATTCAAAAATAATTGAAACTCAATGCCGTGAATGAGCTACAAAATAAAAAATTTCTTATGAGAATTACTCTCATAGTCGAATCCGATAGAAATCTGATCGAGTGCTATGTAAATCCCTACGAGATCGACGAAATTCTATCGCATTCTGGATTTCAGAACAATATCCAAGTCTCCATTGTCGCAATCCGATGTGTTGTCTACTTTCATAATTCAACAAAACTCATTGCTAATTCCTAGCCGACCTATGCGGCTAGCATCAGGTATTCATTAGTACTTAACTACGTAAGTGGATCTCGACAGTCGCATTCGTTAATGGCTTCGTGTCTCGGATATCCGTAGCGTTTGGTTAGTTGCTCGGATCTGAAATCGAATTCCTTTGGCTCAACTTGAAACAACTTTGAGAACTATCGTGTAGTACTTCGTTCAGATTCTTCCACTAGCTTGTATTGAAGATGCATGCAAATATTAGAATTAAATCAGGCGTCTTTCTATACCCTTATAGGTTCCTGTTACACTCGGAAAAGAACTGAATAAAATACGAACTAGTTTATCATTTTACTGCCGCCCATATTTTATTGAACAAACATTATCTAATTTTGTATGACTCCACGAACCGCAGAAATTTTCGAAAAATTTAAGTAGGTGCTGGTTCAACTTCATTGGACTAATTTTCCGCTTCTTTTTCAAAGCGTTGAATCAGATCAACGATAAATCATGCTGGAAGCTTTAAGATCAAATTTTGAACACACTCCCAACCAAAATGAAAGATCTTTGTTCAATCTAGACGTGCTCGCAACAATATTCTGACTATTCTTGTCATCCTCCAAGAATTCGAGATGATTGGTTTTGAACAGGAACAGAAAAGATGCTGGAATATCAGTTAGTGACATCTATGATAAGCATGCATAAAAACATGACAAAAACGCTGATTGAATCTGAAAAGATTTATTCCTGGAGGATTCTCATCGTTCTTCTACTATTCTTTCTATAAATCTCTCCTGAATCAGATGAAGGGTCTGAAAGCATCAAGATCGTGAGATTCCAAATGTATCCTGGTTACCTCGACAATATCTAAGCCGAAATCTTACTCTTATTTCTAGATAAGCTCTCAATCAAATCGAGAGAAAACTAGGGGTGGGTATCACCGGTACTTAGGTAATTGGTAACGGAAGGGTTAGCAGTTACGTTTGTTGGCAATTACTCAGAACAACGAACTATCACTTCCGTGTGATGAAAAATAACTAATGGATCATTTACTCTTTTAACCAGTTATCTGGAAACTCCAAACCATGTTAAGTGATGTATCTACGATATTCAATCGAACGGAAGTGATAAATCGTCATTTTGAGACGCTAGCAATGAAAAGTAGCTGATAACTGTCCCATTATCAGTTAGGCGGATAACAGCAGTTGTAACATTCTCAGTTACCTGGTAAAGTAGCCGTAGCTTCCCTCTGCTAGAAAAAACTGCAATGTGATCGTTGATTCTGAAACAGTGCAAAACCTCGGCATAAACTTCAAAATTTCTGTAAGGATTTTTGGCGACAGAAACAAGAATGACATTCGCGTGGCAGATTGGCTTCGCCTTTGACACTGTTGAGTCAATGGAAGCACAACAAACGTAGGATGATGCGTGAGTATTGGCAGATTATAAAAATAGAATCACTGAAGTTGTTAGAGAACGTTACATTTTATCGTGGTTAGTTACAATTTAAAAGAATCCCTATAAACTATCCAGAAAAACTGGACTGTACTAGTAACCAGTATATCACAACATGATGAAATTGACCAGCAAATTGTTGGTCCTGATGTGACACAAGACACGTGCTGCCATTGTGATAATCCAGGAGCTAAGGTGATGCATGCATCTGAGTATCCTGAATTTTTCTTCTTGACCATGAATTCTCAACGCATTTTTTTCTTGTTCTTCCCATCTGATTTCTTTCGATCACAGTCTAGTTTTATATCTCTCACGATGAGTCTATTTCACGTTGTTCTTTATACATATGAAATAAATTATTCCAAATGCTCGTCTGGTTTTCTGACGATCCATTAGGATCCATCGAGATCCGTCGGGATATATTGGGATCCGCTTTTTCCCCCTTGTGGGAAATATATAAAAGCAAATAGTGATTGATGTACACATTCTGTGTCTTTTCTCCAAACGTATATGCCTTCATATATGATGAAGCATTTCTATGCAAGTGCGAACAATGTCTTCGTAGATTCGTTCAAGCTTCCTCTGTTATTTGTGTAAACTTGAGAGAATTAAAATGATGTTTTTTTTTTCTTGTAGTTGTTATTGTAACCTTCATTCTCTCAGGGTGTAAATTATCTTATTTTTACTATCAGGCTCTGTTGACATACTGAAATCATAGGGCAATACTGAAAACTGAAGGTACAGAGCGCTGAAGAACCAGTCTCTATTAAATAAATAATATTTATTATAAAAAATTGATGAAAATATTAATTTTTCTTTTGTATTTAGTCAACAGACTGAACACTTTTGATTCCTTAATTATTCCTGAAAATAGAAAACATATGGATGAATAGTAAAATAGTTATCCTTTTTTGGATTTATTTATTTCAATTGTATGAATTTATCTGCAATTAAAATCTTAATTTTGCCGCATCTTATTCTCGGTTTGCCACTTAAATTTTTCGAATTTTTAGCTGAACCAAAATTAATGCCATCTCTGTCTTCTGCATTGATCATTAAAAGAGAAAGTGTTTAGTAGTAAAATCTACTCTAACAAAATATCCTCTTGTTTCATATAACAACAATATCACTCAAATGAAATATTTATTTTGTATTTACAACTGTTAATTAATGGCTTTTATAGAGCGAGATAATCCCCACGAATAATTCTCGATAAATTAAATTTCATAATTGTTTGGTTTAGGTTATAACTCTCGTGGATCATCAGAAGAAAATCACATGAAAAAAAATTAATATGAACGATGCGATCAATAGAAAAGTGTTCTCAGAGTAAAAGTGCTAAATCGATGCTTTGATTTCTACCGACAACAAGAAGTTTCTAATCATTTTTCTACAAATATATTCTCTAATTAGAAAATTTTCTAAAATAAAAAAACATTGAAAATAAAATGGCAGTAGATAATGTATTGATAAGTATAGATGTCAACATACTGTAGCATGGTTCGTGTTGTATTCAAAGCTATAAATAATCGAACACTCATTATTGTAGACTACTTAAGTAATCACTCATTGAAGCAAAATAGCTGCAATCCTAGATGCGTATACAATTGCCCTATCGGTTGGTACTTTTGTTCATAATTTCAATATAACGCGTCAAATAGACATGAGAATTATAAACTTCTTTATAATGGATATTCTCTATATTGTGTTCTTAATTTGTTTTCTACATAAAAATCAAGCATAACAAAGAAAGATATTGATCCTATTGGCGGATTAGTTTCAAGGACAAAATTATACGTCCATGCTTTCAAGAGTCTATTTTTCGATATTTACGCCATAGTTGATCATTAGCTTTTCGATTCTCATATCTTGTTTTGCCTTTTGTTTTGATTTATTTTTACTTTCAATGCAAGCATTCGTATCATATGACAAATATTAAATGTATAAAAGACCAAACACAATAGCTTAGCAATAAAATCCTATTGAATATATTACTAATGGGTGCGCCAGGTGAAATGAGCCTGTCAGTATTTCACGAATATCTCGCCCAGGTTCTCAAGTACTTATTTGATTTTTTCTCTGAAAAATATCCCATCGAATTTTCGACAAAACCTAGTGAAGACAGTTCTTTCAACGAATCATTATGAAACTATATTCAGTCTACACTAAAATGCTCCAAAATAGTCCACTTTCAAAGCACTGCATTTTGTATTTCCGATTTTGCACTGCTCTTTTCCTACTTAGAAAACGGGTTGATTAGACTAGTTTGTAGCTCTTGAAAAGCTCTATCAATTGAGAAGAAACGTTATTTTAGCGCCACATCAATTTATCTGAAAAAGCCTCTTCTTGGTTCGTCACCACTTTCGTTTTGAGAATCTTTCGTATAATTATACGCAATTATGGTTTTATTACATTAAATAGACAATGATGATGCATTCAGATGTAACACCAAATTGACGATAACTGTTTTGTCTATCATTCTGACAGGGAAATAATGCTATTAAGAGGTTTTTGCAATGCTTGTGTCATAAAATGAGGAAGATCGATAGTTTCAAACCATTTTTGAAGAAAATTGATCGGTGGCAACTCGCAGTCCTATCCAAATATCTTCTTTTGAGTCTTATTAAAGCGATTAAACCTGAGAACAGAGGAAAATTGCATGAGAGTAGAGTCTCGTATCTGTTTGAATAGAAAAAGTGAAATAATTAGCTTTATAAAAATGCGTATTTGAAAGTAGACTATTCTGGAGCACTGTAGTGTAGACTGAATATAGTTTCATAATGATTTGTTGAAAGAACTGTCTTCACTAGATTCCGTAGAGACTTCGATGGGCTATCTTTTAGAGGAAAAAATCAAATAAATACGTGAGAACCTGAACGAGATATTCGAAAAATACTGAGAGGCACATTTCACCAGGCGCACCTGTTATATTTGTATACGTGCTAACTAGTGACTATTACAAAAGGACGAATATATACCTGTTTTATGCACCAATAACTTTTACCATGAGAAAATGAAAGAAAAATCCAGGTAGATAAGCATGATGAACGCCATTATATTACGACTAGCAAAGTTATTTCATTAGTTTGAAAACATTTTCAATTTATTTAATGCTCGTTGATGATTTCAAAACGTTGAGTTTATTTTTTGCCTAGATTTTCTTGTAATACATGTATTATTTAAAAACAAGTAGGATATTTTCTAGATGATTGATAATCATCCCAAACAGGAAAACATTTTACACCGTTGTTAATTAAAAATTTTGAATAAATGACATTCTTTTTACTTCGTCTATCTTGCTATTCTAGTGGGTCTCTTAACATTTAGTCACCAAAAGAAAAAAAGAAAAATAAAGTCCTTGAGAAAAAAGTTTTCTTAGTCGTGTAACCTCTCTTAAATAATCAATATCTTCCGTATTTTTAGAATAATAACATTAGAATCAGCATAGAATAAGCTGTCTTTACATATTTATACAGTAAATATTGACATAAGATAAAAAAAAGACCGAAATTAACTTGTAGGTCACAATGAAAGAAAGGAGAATACATGTACTCTTTTATTACCATTGCATTGTAACAGTAAGTTGTTCGAAAATTTACTAGAAATGATGAAAGATCATACTCAAATTTTTAATCTATTTTCTTGATGTCGTCTAAAAATCCTACAGACACTCTTATCGTGTGTGATAGAGAACAACATTTGTTTGATAGTTAGTGACATCTGTTTTAATATAATAAACAAAAAGAAAATTCTAATAATATAGATTACATAGATTTATTTTATTGTTTTACATTTTGTTGGAGCATTTTTATGCAAGCAAAAATATGGACGAAAATAAAAGCATGATTCATTTTTACTTGAAACAAGACTAAGCCTAACGAACGAATGATACGATACACTTGGCGTGACACCAAATAAATAAATGTCTTATCGTTTATTTTTTTTCCTGTCCTTTCGATTAGTCAAAAGAGTATTGTATATATATATATATCACTTTTCGATAATCAATGAAGCGTAAAACCGATGAGTAAACAAAAATAAGCTAAAGCGCACATGGCTGTTTGTTTACGCACTTGGATTCGTAGAATATTAAGTAAATTTAAATAAAGTTTCAACGTTTTAGATGTCCTCCTCACGAGATTCATCCAATAATAACAATTCGACCTATCGAAATCAACTTTCAGATTATGAAACGAATGATTATCCGTAAAATATAAAATATTGATTAATTTCAATCATTTATTCATTTATATTTTTAGAAATTTACAAGATAATCATCCAAATCAAGTGTCTGCTCATGGATTTGATAATAGTGAACAATCGTAAGTTAACTAGTCAGTTTAATCCTATGATAATATTCTTTTTAAATTTAGCTATGAGAATGATCTATTTCAACAAATGTATCCTTTTCAAGAAGATCCTGAAGAAGATATACCACATGAAATTATCGCAGCATTAGATGCAAGAAATCGAGTACAATCAAATATTAATGATGTTGACGATTCTGTTTTTTCTGATGTTGTGCAAGATGCTTTTAAAAAGTATCAAAATGAGGTAGCTACATAAGAAAAAGCAGTAGAACTAATTTTGTTAATGTTTGAATTATATTTCTGGAATAATAGAAATATTAAATTTATAATTTATAGCATTGTTATGGAAGTATTCGGAAAAAACCAAGTTAACAAAAAGAGAATTTGATTTTTCGGTATTTAATAATAAGTGCTCTCTGAAGAAAATTTGATTTTAATGATCAAATATCTGCTTTTATTTTACATGCTCGAATCTAACCAATAATTTAACAATATGAATTATAGTTCTCTTACAAAAGTGGTTCTTTTCTTTTCTTTTTTTTTCTTTTCTAGCAAGATGAATTACTTGCTCAAATGGAAGAATGTTGGAATTATATGGCTACGGAAAATGAGAGTGTTGACCCACCGAAAGCAGCAGTAATTAGAATTATTAATTCAAGTCTAAGGATAAAACAAATACCTCCTGTAATAAAAATTTATTTAGATTGAACAACCTCAGTCAGCTCTATTGAATCCTGATGCAGTTGAATTCAAACCATCATGGCTAAAACCACTATCTAGTACAGCAAATGAAGGATCTTTCGTTATCTTGACATCTAGCCAAACAGAAGAGCAACAGAAAAATATTTAAACTGTTTGTTTTCATATAGTGAATAAAAGACAGAAAATCTACATTGTATATTTACTAAAGAAATTCAACATTGTGACATCATCTTTATTTTTTGTTCTATTTTTTTCTCTCTATACTTCATACATCTACCACGATAGAAATAGAAAAAAGAGAATGTATTTGTCGACGTATACGTCTTGACATAACTGCTTATATATGTTAGTGATTTTTATCGTAAAAGAAAAAGAAAAAAAAATAAAGGAAAATTTTTTTAATGTCGACTAAAACTGCTGACCTTCACCAGAATTATATGTAGAGGCTTTTTTATCGTTAGCTGTTCTTTCTTTTTCATTTCAGATGACGCGACAGTAGATTTAACGAAACAATTTTTTCTTCACATGTCGCTTACCATTAAAATGGCTCCATTCTGATTTGAATTTATCGTTCCTATTATTTTTCACGTCAATGTTTTATTTTCTAGTTGCAACAACAATAGATTCCTTTTTATTTATTTCATTTTATTTACATTAGATCACTTTTCATTTCATCATAAGACAACAAAAAACGGATACAAAATGGCTACTGTTCGAAATGGAAAATTAGATCATTCTTGTCAACATTTTTGTGCTAAATGTCGTTCGCATGATACCCATGATCTATCTTTGGATACAACTCATTTATCAGTACCAATCACGGATGCAAATCCAACTGGAAATCCATACGAAAATACACCGTCACCATCGTCAAATGCATCAACAACTATAATAAAAAGACCATCGAAGTATGGCCATCGGATACTTTCGTCTACTTTAAAACGTAAATATATTTTTTGTCTATTAGGAATATTAAATTTTATATGATTTTTCCTTTTCTGTTGTTGTTAACATAAAAGATGATCATTTCAATATGTCGCTCAAGCGTCATTCTCGTTGTGATAAACTTTTTAATTATACACAAATGATCAATCGAAAATATATGACGTCGATGGCGAAAGTTTTGTTTCAAATGCAAAAACAAATTTATAAATTAAAACGACGTACAAATCGTGTCGAACAAGTCTTTATTAAACAAGTAAAATCTGTACAACCAATTCTTCGTATCCCTCGTTTAACAAAAGGTTCTTAAACAAACAAAAAAACTTTTATCTCTCTTTTTTTTAATTGTTCTAAATCATGTTGCGAATTGTTCTTTTTAGATCAACTTACAAACGTTTCTATTCATAATGATGATGATGATAATGGTGACGTTTTACACGATACTGAAACAATACCGGATAATAATAATAATAACATTAAACTTTCACCAAATACAAAAAAGAATCTGAAACGTTTGAGTATGTTATCTTTTCCCCGTCATACGTTTCTCTTTGATTTTTACAATTTTTGATTGAATAGACAAACATAAACAATCGAAAAAATCTCGTTCAACTATATGGATTAATAATCGGCAAAAACCTGTTGATCTGAATAAATATTGTTCATCGTGTCGACATGAATTTTCCAAGCGATCGAATTTTTTAATACATATTAGAAATATTCATAAGGGTGTATTGCCAACAATAATAAATGAACGTAATCAATCATTATTAGAAATTAATGAAGGAAATATAGAGAAAGATTTCAATGAAAATATAACAGATAGTTCACAATGTGAAACTACAAATGATCAATCAGGTAAACAGTTGATAGTCTTTTTTGTTGTTGTGCATAATAATTAATTATGCAATGTTTTAGTTGATCAATTGGATACTAGTAATAATAGATTACATCGACGTACAGTTACTAAATCAATTCATGAACCACAAGTGCATGAGAAAGTTAAATGTGATATTTGTAATAAATTGTATCGTGTTACTTTTATCAAGGTAAACACTTTTTCTCCCTATACCATGATTGATTTGTTTCAATTTTGAAACAAACTATAATCTTATGAATGTTTCTTATAAGATATCAACTATTCGATGCGAATTATTTGTTTCTATACGAAAAAATCTTTCACATAGTTGTTCTCTCTTGTTATCAGGACAAACATTATCAAGCTTTTTCGTGAGCCAAAGAGTAATTGCTTTGGCATACACGGTAATTAGCAACGTGCTATTGCACGGAATAAAGAGTAACAAGCAACACGATTTACTGACTCATGCAACTCATTTCGCGAATACTATAAGGCAGCATATTAGCGCCATTCAATGAAAAGAAAAAAATTTTACATGAATTTAATTTAAGGTTTTTAGTTTTCTTCTAGTTTCTCTTTTTTAAATGAATTGCCAGGTAGATGGTCAAGGATAAACACATTCTATACTGTTTTGTGATGTAGTTTATAATTCATTGCATAAATTTGAATTCTGCTATTGGATTAGAATGTATGCCAGCATTCCTTTTATTTTTTTCAAGAAAATTGAAACTATCATCAAGATAAGTGCCGGTGTCGTTTTTTTTTTCTTTCATACCATACTCATTGGATGATGGAAAATTTATATTTTTAAATCTTGTTTAAAAAATGCTACAGCAACCACATTACATTCTATAGAGAACTGAATGCACGTGGCTGATAATAGGATTCATTTTATTTTTATAGTTTCAGTTATTCTAGAAATCATTTTATGAAGAATCGATAAAAATAAATTTGACGATGAATTATAAGCCTGTTTTGCTTTTAAAAAATAGTTAACCGTAGCTTGCCATTAATAGTTACATAATCAGTAAAGTGAAGGTTCGCATGCCTAACTGTCCATCATATTCGAAAAATTGTAGGTCACAGGCACTGTTTACTCAATTTCATGTTGATTATTTTCTAGTTATGTACACTTCAAGTGCTTTAATTTCTACAAATTATTGTTCCTTCAGAATTATTTCTTAGAACCCAACAACAAAATTAACATAAACTAATAAGATCTAAAAACAGTCAAAATAAAGAACTAGGCAAATATTGAATGAAACATGATCTATTATACAGTTTATGATATTTCACAACACGCTTGTAGTTTTGGAAGAACTTTGATTTCAATATATTTGAATTATTAAAGGAAAAAGAACATGAAATGGATTGATTTGAGTCATCATTTCCTGCAAGAGCTTTGTATTTTTCTTGCGCAAAGAAAAAACGAACGAAAATGACGATATAACTGAAAAATGAATTCGCAGGAAGCTTTTATGTGCTATAACAGAAAAAAAAACAATTGGATTTCTTTTCTATGTTTCTTATTGACTAACCTGGTTATAAAAGTTGTAGCATAAAAAATACAGGCAAAATACGTCAGAATAAATATACGCCTATTTAAATAAAAACACGGATTAAAAATAATGCAGATTTGCAATAGGAGTAATAAAAAGGTTAATCATTCAAGATTTCGATAATAATAAAATTCACTTTTCAGGATTACTGAAATAAGGTTTTTTTTCAAGTTTTTAATATTTTCTACAAGAAAAATAATTTGAAGCAACAGATGGCGACGCTCTAGTCAAACATCTATGAATAGATCAACTTTTTAAATGGAAATATAAGCTGATTAAAATCTAGTTTCATCACAAGATGACACGATTTTACTATATAGTCATGCCCGATCAAAGTTTTTCTAGTTGCTAAAAATATTCAGTTTATCGATGCAAAATTTTTCGATTAAAAATTTTTTATCTATTTTAAAATAAAACCTTATTAAAAACATTTCTTTTTTTATAGGTGCATAAAAGACGTGCTCATTCCGATAAAGAATTTCTATCAACATCAAGTGAAATAAACAATAATGTAGAACATTGTGACTCAGTTTCTGACAAAGGCAATGATCAAGATGTATTATCCAATGACAATTCTACATCGATTGGTGCATTGGATATACAAAATATAAATACACCAGCTGCAATTACAATATCTGATATGGATACTGACGATGTACCAATTCGATTTTGTGTATGTTTTTTCGAAAATTTTTCTATGATTCACTAGATTATTCTTTTATTGGTAAAATTTAGGCGGATATGACTAGACCAATTGTTATTGCTGTCACATGTCTTGAAAGTTACCAATTAGTATGTTTTATTTTATTTGAAATTAATATAATTCTATTCTCATATATAATTTTTTTTCTATAGGATTTAGTTGAGCAATTTTTAGGAAAATTTTCATCGCATGTTTGTCAGACAACATCAATCGATTCTCGTACTACACATTTAATAACCAATGATGATAAACACTCATTACGTTCACCATTATCGATGAAATTAATTGAAGCTATTGCTCATCATTGTTTTTGTGTATCGTATCGTTGGATTATCGATTGTCTTAAATATGATCGTATTATTGAAGAAGAATCCTATGAAATCGAAGGTGATGATACGGACGTTCATCCACATGGTGGTCCACGTCGTTCGCGATTAATTAAAAGTCAACATTCACTCTTTCAAAATATATGTTTTATGATTAAATGTACAGAAAATCCTGATATAAGAATGACCAATGAACGCTTAGAAGATTTAATAACAACCTGTGGTGGACAAATTATAACCTGTGTTACACAACGATTACTTGACCGATATCAAATAATTGTTCTTTGTGATATGCTATATGTATCTGAACGACGTCACAATTATGATCAATGTCGCTCATTAGGAATACATTTTGTATCGTCTGATTGGGTGCTTGAATCAATACTTGAATATCGTCAGAAACCATTTTCATTATTCGAGGAAGTGCCTCTGTGATTTTGATAGATTCGTGTTTTTTGTTTTTTTTTGTATAAATGTTTCATTTCTTGTTTGCTTCATTTATTCTTTTTTTTTTATGATGATCATGATGATGAAAAGAAGAAATTCAATGAATTAACAATGTTTTTCTTAATTTCATTTTTGTTTTTTTTGTAATAGAGTAAAATTCACAAAATAAAAAAAAAATAATAATAAATTTAACGGATAGACATCAAACGCATCTTTATTTATTTTCTTATTATAAAAGTCTATCGAACAGATAGATTCGACTACAGAAAAAAAATGTTAGTGCTGCTTCTTCACAATTTTTATCTAAGGTTTCACGTGATTTTTTAACTATAAATGGTTCAGTTCTTTGATAAAAAGATTATCAGAGAAAGAATTCTGTGTCATACTTAGTTCAATAGCGGGGGTTCTTTGTGTTCTTTTACATCCAAGGTCAAGATGAGAGCGATAAATTGAAATAACAAACAACCTTTACGGCCATATAAAATTCACATAATTAATATATAGGGCTTCATGTAGGTTTTGTTTCTTGGACGAAGAATTTAAAACTTCTTTAGAAAAAAATACACCCAACTTTTAGAAGGTTAGACATCTAGGATGCTTTGCGTTAAGAAAATACTGTGGAGAGATCAGCGAAATTTTCGGAGGGGCGCAGGTCCTCTTGTTCTCACTCGAACAGATGCCGGTGTTTAGTTTCTCAGAACCAAATTCCTTAGGATATTTTGAATAATTTAAAATGAGATTTGAAACGATTTTTGAAAGCATCTAAGCTAGCATATCAAGAAACAAGAGCTTCTGAAAGTAATACTTCTGTACACATATGAGATGTGAAAGGTTTTAAGAGTATAAAACATTAAAAAGTTTCAGCCGTGAGCCAGTTCATCAGGCTGTGGCTGAGAATATGGTCTGTCAAAATTCATGCAGGAGTAAGTTCAAGATTACATTTTTGATTATTTGTTATATTTTGTAATAATTATATCATCTATTTTTATTTGGTAAACATGAAAATAGATAGAAGTATAAATAATAATAATGATTATAATAGACGAATTTTACATATATACACCATAGTTCAATTGTATTCTACATGAAGTTCGAGAATCAAAAAATCAATATTTTTGCAATAATATGAGATTATATGATTAGGAAAAACAATTAGAAAACATGATATAGCTTAAATTAAACAATACATAAATCACTCTAATAATACTTTCCTATCAAGCAAACAGGTCGATTATCCATAACACATATCATTTGTTGTTATGTAAAAACTATTCATGCAAGATGCATGTTGCATATATATATATATTAATGATTGATCATATATATGTGTGCACTATTTTGCTGACCATGTAAGTACTGATGTAAAATTAACGAGCAGCATAGTAATAAAACTAGAGCTTACCAACAAGTAACACCGTAAACTTCGAACAGATACATAGATTAGCTATTGTTATATCCATACTGTAAAGTGTATTGAAAAAGCTTTTTCAATTCGTTATGACAAATAAAATAAACTCAATCCTATTACATTTACATTTATCATTCATTACTGAATAGAAAGATACATAATTTAAAAGTTCATTACACAATAGATCTATTAAAATTTTACAGCATGCAATTCTAAAGCAAATACGATGATTTTCAACCTTCAATTTTGAATTACATTCTACGCTTATATAATTAATAAATTTCAGACACTATCATGCTCTGTATAATAGACAGCTGTTATTTTTAGCAAAACAGATATCTTTAAAAATGCCAATGTCATATAGTAATATATAATATATGTGTAATAAATACGTTTACATCAACTTTATCCAGTAGCCATATGGGACCGTTTTTTGTTTACATTCTGTTGCTTACTAATTCACAAGAACGTACTTAACAGTATCAAAGATTTCTGTTTAAAAGTAAAAACAGATTATTTATATGCGAAGCTTTCGGTTCATTTCATTTCTACTTTCATCTTTCTAACAGTTTACCGTCTTTTCCCTATAGGATACACACGATTAAATAGCGTCACAGTAGTTATCAAATAAGAAAATTTAAATCATTTTCACTATTGATTATCTTTTCCAAATCAAAATTATATTTTCTCACTACATTGATATCGTATCTTAATCAATAATGGATTGATTTTATCTATATAAATATCATCTTGACCAATGATCGATACGTACGAAGTTCGGATGTGCATTTCTAAGAGTAGAAATTAAAATTTTTAGATACTTTTGTTTCTGTAGTATCCTATTCATTATGAGTATTGTTACCCAGTGAAAAATATTCGCTGATTTCAATCAAATTATCGTGGTTGTGGAACAAAATTCAATCCGCAATCCGATTTCAATCAAACTAATTTCCACCGGGCTAGCAATAACATCACGTTTGGGTTGGTTGGTGGTCGATTAAAATGAAAATTATCAATCGGATTGCGGATTGGATTTTGTTGCACAATAATTCGATTGAAGTCAGCGAATATTTTTCACTGGATATCACTTCTAGAAAAACTTGATGTACTTATTAGAATTACGTTCATTAGATATGTCAAGATCAATTAGATCAATGCAATATATAACACACATGATATCAAAGTATTAGCTACGAATGTATTCATATACTTGAGATATAAATTAATAAAAGATTATTAATGAAATAGTAGAGCAAAGCTTTCAAAACTAATGAACTACTGTAATAGAACAAGCATCGGAAAGGCGATCCCTGTATACAAGGTCTCAGACCAAAACAAGACTGTTTAGCAAATAAATCAACATTAAGATGTAACAGAGCAATATCAATGCTATTACATAGACACGATGTTTAAGATGAGTAAGACATTAAACTAATGGCATTTTTGAATTGGTGTTCCAGCTGTTATTATCTTTGATTTAAGAAAATATTTTTTGTTTATCCACAGTCGCCCTTGACATAAGAAAAATAATTCGTTATATTGGATAGATTCTCGAAGGTGATATTGATGATGATACTTCGGAGCAAGAACACTAACACTCGGCAGAAATCAACTGACAAATGCTCTACATAACGATGAAGTCATCAACAAAGCAAACAGCGTCTAAATTTATTGTACACTTTTTTTCTAGAAAATACCAAACAAGGATAACACGAGAGTTAGATAAATAGCGAGACAATTACTACGCATATCTTAATCATTAACAATGTCCTATTGCAATAGAAGTTTCAATGACAAAAGTTATTCCAATTGCGAAAGTGTAAATGGTAACACTTCATCAAATGACACCAACAATGTAACGAGAAAATGTTAGAAAATTTTGCATAGATAAACAATATGCAGCGAAAAGATGCCTCACAGATAATTGAACTTAACAGATTTCTTAAAAGTTCACCTGTGAATTTCGATTAGTTACCATTTATTATTATTATTAAAACAAATCATTGTACGTGAAATAATGAGATGTTTTATATTTTACCAAAGATTAGTCTGTATTCAGATGACAAACAGCCTTCATTTTATTCTGACATCTGTCTGAAAAATGTTAGACGAATTTCATCAGCACTAGAATGATAAAAGGGTTTTTCAACTGGCAAAAGTACATACTCGAGTTCATTTTCTCTGATGGATGAATTTAAAAGAGCATTATTAGAATTCTTTTGTTAAGGTTCATGAACTGTTCTATGAAAAGAAACTTGAGCATCTATACAAATCAACAATGCAAAAATTTAAAACTCTACTGACGAAATTTTTGGATGTTGAGAATCCGAATTAACATTGAGTTTTCTCACGTAATGCTTTATTATTATTACTCACTAATAATGCTAAATCTAGATTTTTCATTTACTGAAAACTATCAGAATTTTCTATGTCGAATCGTATCGATCTGAAACTGTATGTGAGTTTTTTGTTATTTCGAATAGTTGCGCACGTTTTATTTTTATTCGAATGGAGCTTCAATAACTATAATGAGCTCATTATTATCTTTTCATTATTCTGAGCGGATATTAAATAATAAAATATTTTAAACCAAGTCACTTTCATCAATGTAAACATCCTGTATAAATGAATTCGGCACCATAGAAATATATTTCTTCTCTAACCTTTCAAACTAAAACGATACTGACAGTAGATCAGACCTTACAAGGTGTAAAACATTTTTTCCAGATGAACAAATTTTACAACAGGAATTTTTTTAACCTCCCATTAACATCATTACGTCATTTTCTTGAATTAGTGGGGGAAAATACTTGACATCTTGTCGTATTTCATTAGAATAAAGCTTGCTAAACAAATTACTGCACTTTCTCTTCCTAGAATACAAGCCGTGATATTTATCAGTTATCTTCTCTTTATTATGACAGTGTGCAGCGAGGATAAACAATCATGACCAACCTAAACAATAATCGAAGGCCATATCATATATAATCAAAATAGAACTGACTTACGTTTACCACTAGTAAGTAACTTTCTACTATGTCAATATTTTGTCCAATTTAACAGCAAATATTTGAGTTTGTACGAAAAAAAAATATATTTTATTAGAAGTTGTAAGATTATCGCAGAGTTATGGTAAAAAGTAAACGCACGTCAATGTTCATAATATATCCAGTAATCAGAAGGTGTATTTTAAACATGACTAGATTTCGGATATTGAATTCTATGCTATTCATAGACGAATAGTCCTGAAGTCTTAATTCTGTAATTGTAAACGAAGAGCTTTGATAATATTCAAGGATAATGGCTATGATTAAATACAGTGTATAAGTGAGCTCTATATGATCGTTTCTAGTCGTTTACATAACATAAATACTGGTAACCAATTCTTTTGCACCGACCAGTTCGAAGCTCCATTTAATCTACATTAAAATTAAGTCTAGTTTTTTACTTTGACAGTGAGCTAGCCCGCGAGCTAGCGTACATTTAATTGATACAATATTTAGTCACAAACTAGCAAGATTCTTTTCTTTACACATTCGCTTTTTAATTGTTGGTGAAACTGTGATTTGGTTTTTTAATT